ACAGAAGTTAGATTTTTATTTATCTTTTTTATATTCCACCATTACCCCCCAGGGAGACTCAAAGCAACATTCACCTCACAAAAACCCTGTGAGGCAGGTTAGGCTGGGAGGGAATGGCAGGCCCGGCATCACTCAGCAAGCTACCACGGCGTGAATGGGGATTTGCACCTGGGTTTCCCAGTACCCAGTCCAACACTTTAACCACTATATCTGGAGATAACCTCGGCCGAGATATTCCAGTTCCTTTTATTTCTGACCCTGGAATTCCCACGATCATGCCGAAGCTGGTGGCCCAATTTTGACTCTCCTAGGTTTATTTTCTGATGAGTTATGCCTGCCACAAATGGACAGACGCACGGACATGTGGATCCTTTTATTATTTTAGACGCAGGCTAACAGCGATTCGTTTTGTTATGATATTTGGTTTGGATCAGGGTCGTACGGGCTGGAGGCCCAGATAGAACCTTTGTCCGGGGGCCCGTGGTGGCTCTCGGCAGCCCCGGACGGACTAGTAAACATTTTAAAGAGCTAGTAAACTTCTCTGAAACCCTAGGTAAAGGTAAAGGTTCCCTTGCTCGAAAGCCAGTCAAATCCGACTCTAGGGTTGCGGTGCTCATCTCCGTTTCCAAGCCAAAGAGCCAGCGCTGTCCGAAGATGTTTCCGTGGTCATGTGGCCGGCATGACTCAACACCAAGGCGCACGGAACGCTGTGACCTTCCCACCGAAGTGGTCCCTATTTATCTACTTGCAATTTCTTGCTTTCGAACTGCTAGGTTGGCGGGAGCTGGAACTAGAGACGGGCGCTCACTCCATCATGCGGCACCCGGGTCTCGAACTGCTGAACTACCGACCTTCCACAGCCTGCAGTTCAGCGTCTTAACCACTTGAGCCACCACAGTTCCCTGAAACCCTAGGCAGGGTAGTTACAATACTTGTTTCAGCACTGTACTGATCCGATCATGGGGGATTTTTCCTAACCTCTTCTTTATTCTCTCCCCCCGCCCCAGGCCACCTTTCTTTTTTTACTGCACCTTCTGTCTGTTCTTCCGCAGGTGGAGACAGATTACCAAGGAAGTCCGACTTTCTCCCTCCATCCGAACGCGGTACAGTCAAAAAGCAAAACGGAGTGCCTGCACTTGAAGAGCCAGAAGGAAATAACAGCTTTTCTTCCCCCCCCCCCCTTCAGTTCTAAGACCAGTAGCATACCTTGAATCGCTCTCTGGACCTCTAACCAGCTGATCTGGGAGCACAGCTCACCAAAAGGGAAAAGGACATTCCATCCAGCTCTGAGATTCTATAAGAAGTCCAGGTAAGCGGACTGCGAGTTTCTCGAATCTGGACTCTGGCGAGTCTCGATAAGTGTGCCCGCACACACACAAACACACACGCACATATATACATAACTTAAAAATTTTTTAAAAAGCAAAGCTGCCACCGGCATTTCCAATAACCACAAACAGACGAAGGCCTGAAATTCTAGCAACGCAGTGGTCTCTTGCGCCAGAGCTGTGCATACTCCTGGCCAAAAAAAGTATCCATGTGCTATGCCAAGGAATCCAAGCTCCAAGCCAAGGAAACACAAATGCGCCACTCAGAATAAATTATGGAAAGCAAGCAAATTTTCATAAAGTTACTTATACTGGATAGTGTATCCTCGTTGGAGGGGTTTCTTTTTGCAGGATCTTGAGTTGTTTTGGCAACGGCGGAGGGGAGGCACAGGAGAATGAGGGCAGGGACTCGATGTCTGTGCCAGGGAGAGACGTTCCACCCCAGACCACTGGAAGTCTGTCAACAGTCCCTCTAGCTCCTGGCTGCTTAGCAGACCTGGCTTCCCATGTCCACAATCTTGAGGGCCAGTAACCCCCTTTTTTTTTAACCCAGGAGGAACTCAAGATTCCAGCCTCTTCCCTAGATTTTGAATCTTAACAGTGTATCTTGATACAAGCCCTGCTTTTAAGGCTATGGGTGGACATGCTTGGGATGCCGAGTCCGAAAAGATAGCCCGACGTGCCGCCATTTTGAATCGGTCGCCGTGATCTCTCCTCTGCTTCTCCTCAGAGGATTCCCAGACGCCTCTCTGCGCAACCTCGCTCTTATTTGTTTAGTTCATTTGATTTCTATCCCGCTCCGCCTCCTACAAGCAGGACTCAGGGAGGCGTACAACATATAATATGCGTAAAACAGTAATAATAAGAAGCACAATATTAAAATGCATATACAATACAGCAGGGGTCATTTCCTGCAGGAGCGCACAGGAGCGGAACTCTGGCAGTAAAGAGCCCAGGGGGCGGGCACATGCAACAAGCCCCACCCCCTGCTCCCAGCAGCCCTCAGTCAGAGCAAGAAGCGGCCAGGTAAGTTGCAGAAGCCCCCCCTCCCCCCCCGTCCAAAACAGTCCAGTGGCACCTTTAAGACCAAGTTTTATTCGGGTACAAACTCTCCCTCCTCTGCAAGGACAGATCTGCACGTCCCCCCCCCCCAAATAGCTAGCAATCCAAAACTGTCCAGTGGAGCCTGAGCAGTGGGTGTTGCCTTCTGACACACTTCCGGTGATGTCAGGGGGCGTGGCGTATGCAAATAAGTTATCCGAACAAGTTATGCGAATAAGCTCCTGCACCTCTTGTTCTACGAAATGACCCCTGCAATACAGTCAATCAGATGGTGCCATGCATCTATCTCTCAACTGGATGAGGTGGCGGGCATCCGATCCGGATTTCACTCATAAGGGGGTTTTAAGCTGGAAAAAGTAAAACATGAAGGGGGGGGGAACCCGGGAGGCCACTGATTTCCCCAACCGTTGCTGTCCTCAGTTGTATGCCCGGCGGAACATCTCAGTCTTACAGGCCCTACGGAACGGAGCCAGGTCCCACAGGGCCCGGAATTCTCTTCTTAGTGAGATCCGGGCTCTGTGGGACCCATTCTGTAAAACAGCTGGACTGTTTTGGGACCAGGGACTACCACCATTTTGGTACCAGTTGAGCGTAATGCTCTCTGAGGGGCATAGAGGAAGAGGCGGTCCCGTAGATACGATGGTCCCAAGCTGTTGCCAAGTGTGTAATGCTGATCATATGCCAATCGGATCGCATTTCCTCATGCTCTAACAAAGTAGTAAAAGGATGCTTCACCTCCCCCTCCACACGCATGATCATACATGTTAATCTGCCTCAGCGGTCGCAAATGAAGACCGTATTTGCTGACCCACGCTTGCGCTGCTCGTGTGTACCGATTTAATGTGCGTTTAAGGGGCGCTGGGTTGTAAACCCAGGGCGCAGTCCCAACAGCTGGAATATTTACATCTTGTTTTGAGTGAGAAATTGCTCAGTTATCCTCAGATACTTGAGAAATAAAATGGAATTGAGGAATGTACTTTTCTCCCTTTCTCACAATGCAAGAACTCGTGGGCACTCCATGAAATTGCTGAGCAGTCGGGTTAGAACAGATAAAAGGAAGTCCTTCTTCACCCAAAGAGTGATTCACACATGGGATTCACTGCCGCAGGAGGTGGCGGCGGCTACGAGCAGGGACGGCTTCAAGAGGGAATTAGATAAGCATATGGAACAGAGGTCCATCAGTGGTTCTTAGCCACAAGGTAAAGATAGGGGCTCTGGGGCAAGGGATGCTCTGTCTTCTTGGTGCTGGAGGGGGGCAACAGTGGGAGGGCTTCTAGTGTCCTGGCCCCACTGCTGGACCTCCTGATGGCACCCGGCATTTTTGGCCACTGTGTGACAGAGTGTGTTGGACTAGATGGGCCATTGGCCTGATCCAACATCGGATTCTCTTATGTTCTTATGTCAGATCCAGCTCTTGAAGAGCGCCCAGTTGAGCGATGAGGTTTGGTTCCCATAGCAGCATGGGTAGAGCTTGGGGTCAGCAGGGAGAGTGGTTAAACCTAAAAACTCACTTTCCAAAATTGGGTGGGGTTGCTAAAGCCCCATCCACTGTTGGCAGGAATCCTGCCTGTATGTTCTCTCTCTCAGTTCCTAGACTCCAAAATGGAGAACCCCTTTGAAATTACATAGACAGTCGCCAGGGGAATTTCCTTTTGGAGTTCCATTCTGGCTTCTCAAGATGAGGCTACACTGAACCTTGACCTGGCGACCTGAGGACGCCAGGCAGGATTCGTGTTGTGTGCCACTACACAGCTCTGGCCATAAGACAACTGGAGGGAGACCAACCAAGGAGGGTGGCTCCTTGCCTGGATAATCCTGATTGGGTCTCCAGTGTTCCCTCTAAGCTGAATTAGTGTGAGCTAGCTCACAGTTGTTTAGCCTCCGGCTCACACATTTTCGTCTTAGCTCAGGAAGGATGGCTCCAGAGCAAACTAATTTAGGCAGCAGCCAGAATCGCTCGCTCACAACTTTCATGCCAGAGGCTCACGAAGTGGAACTTTTGCTCACAAGACTCCACAGCTTAGAGGGAGCATTGGTTGCCAGTGACACTCCAATAAAAGGTTCCATGTCAGGCTGACTCACTTCCTTGAGCAGCAAAGACACACACACACACCCACTCCCTTTTCTCATTATCTCTGCTTTATTCTGCTCTTGACTGCTTGGGAGACCGGTCTGATGGCGGATTTCTGCAGCACAACTTCTGCACAGTTCCGGTCGCGTATCAATCAATTCTGCATGACCGACGCCTCAGTTTTCGCTAAGGGCCGGGATATTTTCACCCCCGCTTCCAAGGGAACAAAGAGGGTTCGGTGCCAAAGAAGTGAAAATATCAGCAATTTAGAGAGACAGATGTTTTCCAGCGATTTTAACAATGGAGGGGGAAATGTGTGTGCGCGTCCCCGGGTTTTTCACGTTGCTTTTCTGGGCCTCACACAGATGTCGCAAGCAAAAAAAGGTTTAAAATGAGGACGCAGCAGCTGCACAAATAAAGCCCACTCTTTCATGTAAGTGTGATCTGTCGAGTGCAGTCTTCAAAACGTTGGCGGTTTCAGCCTGGCGATCAGGACTTTTGGAAGGGTTGATGGGAGAGAGACGGCAGGGGGAACTTACCCGTTTTTCCCTACGGCAGTTGCTAGTCTAAAACTGAAAGACGGGGGCACCTTGTCTCTGCCTCCAGAGGGAGACGGGAAAAAGCAATGCTTTCCACCAATAACTCCCTATAATTTTAAACAACTGTAATACAATGAAGGGCCACGGCGGCTCAGAGGTTAAGACGCTGAGCTGCAGACCGGAAGGTCTGTAGTTCGGCAGTTCGAGACCCGAGTGTGCCGCATGACGGAGTGAGCTCCCATCTCGGGCCCCAGCTCCTGCCAAGCTAGCACAGTTCGAAAGCAATGAATTGCAAGAAGATAAATAGGTACCGATTCAGTGGGAAGGTAACAGCGTTCCATGCACCTCGGCGTTTAGTCATGCCGGCCACATGACCACGGAAACATCTTCGGACAGCGCTGGCTCTTCGGCTTGGAAACTGAGATGAGCACCGCCCCCCGGAATCAGATTCGACTGGTTTTCGAGCAAAGGAAACCTTTACCTTTAATATAAGGAAAGCTCTTGGTCCTTTTGAGTGGCCCCCACCTTGGTAAATAAAGTTGGTGTCTTGCAGGAAAAGGGCCTTTTCCGGGATGGCCCCAGTGGCGGTATCAGAGGATTATAGGAGAAGTGCTTCTTGATACCCTGCATAATGACTGTATGCAACTCACTGGCATAAGGTGAAGGGATGGTTGCTGGCTTAGATGGCTTTTGCTTCAGCCCTTCTGCTAATGTCTGTTTTATTCGACTGGTCCAGGACCATAATAAATTATCAACTGATCGAGCAAAGCAAAGGTGTCGCCAGTTGCCATGCCTTGGTTTTGTGCCAACGTTCTTGGGAGCTGCAAAAAGTGGGAAAACTTAAAGGTTTGACAATGCTGTTAACGTAGTGAAGGGTGCGAGTTTTTTTGTTTCATTTCTAAAACCTCAGCAGGTTTCAGCTTGCTCAGTGCCTGCACACAGGAGAGATTTCCAGCAAGCCCCCCTGGAAACGTCCCTGACTTTCCCAAAGTACAACTCTTAACTGAGTAAACAGACGAACCCCTCCTGCATCCTTTCCAATCTGTGCCAGCAAATTTTATTCCTACCTCCACAGTCACAAGGACCAGAAAACTACTTTTCTAAAAAAAAGAATGTCCATGTTTTCAAATATGTACAAATCCTCCATCTATAAGAATAATGTCCATGTTTTCAAATATGTACAAATCCTCCATCTATAAGAATATCAGAAGAAGAGCCCTGCTGGATCAGACCAGCGGTGCATTTAGTCCAGCATCCTGTCTCACACAGTGGCCACCCAGTTCCTCTGGAGGGCCAACAGCAGGGCACAGAGGCCGAGGCCTTCATAAGAACATCAGAAGAGCCCTGCTGGATCAGACCAGCGGTGCATTTAGTCCAGCATCCTGTCTCACACAGTGGCCACCCAGTTCCTCTGGAGGGCCAACAGCAGGGCACAGAGGCCGAGGCCTTCATAAGAACATCAGAAGAGCCCTGCTGGATGAGACCAGTGAGGGTCCATCTACTCCAGCATCCTGTCTCACACAGTGGCCAACCAGTTCCTCTGGAGGGCCAACAGCAGGGCACAGAGGCTGAGGCCTTCCCCTGATGTTGCCTCCTAGCTCTGGGATTCAGAGGTTTAGTGCCTCCGTTTGTTAGATGTTAAAGTGCTCAGTGGCTCCGATGTTTATTGTAAGGAAAATCTCTTTTCCGAAGCCGTAGGAGGGAATCTTTTGCATTCCAAAACAACCCCACATTTCTAAGCTTCCCTCCCCTAAAGCAGAATTCTTGGCATTATTTATATTATATTTGCATAATCAGTCCTTATTAAGAGTGTACTGGTTTGTCTGAACGTTAGGCACTTACTTAAATGGAATACTTAATCACTGAAATGCTTAATCGCTTAAGTGAATACTTAAATGGGAGGGGAAAGGGCGGGGCGGGAGGGGCGGAGTGCCTACCCTTGCAGAAAAAAATGCCTACCTCCAATTTCCAACCACTTGGTGCCAGATGCTGGCTGCGCATGTCCTGCTCTGCTGGGAACGGCCCCAACAGCAAAGAACAGTGTGCACGTGGTAGACTGCTGAGGGTAGGGGGAATTGTGCTGCTCAAATGGGAAGTAAACGCTTCTTGTTTCCTCCTTAGCCAGCACAAAGAGTCCATGGCCAGGAAGCTGCTGGGTCCTCCTGCCAGCCAAGCCCCTATTAAAGGCAAAGGTGGAAAGGACTTGCTCGACAGCCAGTCGAATCCGACTCTAGGGGGTGGTGCTCATCTCCGTTTCCAAGCCGAAGAGCCAGCGCTGTCCGAAGAGATTTCCATGGTCATGTGGCCGGCATGACTAAACGCCGAGGCGCATGGAATGTCGTTACCTTCCCACCAAAGCCGTACCTATTTATCTACTTGCAATTTCTTGCTTTCAAACTGCTAGGTTGGCGGGAGCTGGGGCCAAAGACAGGCGCTCACTCCGTCACGCGGCACTCGGGCCTCGAACTGCCGAACTACCGACCTTCCGGTCTGCAGCTCAGCATCTTAACCTCTGAGCCACCGTGGCCCTAATTATTACTTCTCATCTTTCGTTCTGCATTTTCTTGTCACTGGAAGGACGAGGAGCTCTAGAAGGCCATCATGGTGTGTACTCTGACCAACGAAAATCTCATTCAGCTACTCTTCTGGCTCTTGCAATTCACCAGGCATTGCCTAAATATATCTCTGCAACCACAAGGTCTAGAAAGTGCTCTCCCCCCCTTTTAAAAAATAACAAAGGCTTAGATTTTCAGGACATCCATGCCCCATTCCACAAGCTTGTCTTGTGGCCCTGTGGCATACACACCGCCCTATCCACTCACCTTAATAGAGCTGTCATCATCTGGGCTGTGCCACCAGAGGCCTACTAGGCCCAGGGAGCCTGGCTAGCAGTAGGGGAGGCTGGGCCTACAAACCCCAGAAGGCCTTGGGAAGTTTTGACGCCAATTTTGACCAATAGGGAAGGAGAAGGCTGGGGAATATAAGAACTGGTACAAGAGAAAAAGCTGTTCTTCCCAGGAAACAGAGCCAGAAGAGAGGCTGCTGTGGGGAAGAAACCCTCATCCTGAGGGAAGGGTGAGTAGTCTAAGGCCACTTGAGATAGTGAGATATTTAGACGCGTTAGGGCATTTGATTTCTTTTCACCCACTTACTGTTATTATTCTGCACCTTGTTGTTTGACCTCCTATAAAATAAACTTTTTCCTTGTTTCACTCTGCCTGGTCCTCATGCCTATTATTTGGCCAAAAGGGAGGTCTAAAGGTCTTGGGAGGGTGCTCTGGGCCTTCTCAAGGGAGCCTGGAACCAGAGTGGTGGCAGTGTCAGGTGACACCCCACCTGAGCCGTGACAGGAGCATACTTCTAGGTTAAGGAAATAAGATAGGTGTCTTGGCTTCACACCCTGACCTGGATGGCCGCAGCTAGCCCGATCTTGTCAGATCTCAGAAGCGATGCAGGTTAGTATGTGGATGGGAGACCATCAAGGAAGTCCAAGGTCGATGCAAAGAGGCAGGCAATGGCAAACCACCTCTAAGCATCTCTTGCCTCGAAAACCCTGCAGGGTCCCCTAAGACACATCAGCGTCATCATACAATATCCTTCACACACATATGCTGCTGTGCAGAGCTGTGGAAATATTTCTGATCCTTAGGAATCCCCCCCTTCCTGTGGGGTTTCTTCCCCACAGCAGCCTCTCTTCTGGCTCTGTTTCCTGGGAAGAACAGCTTTTTCTCTTGTACCAGTTCTTATATTCCCCAGCCCTCTTCTTCCCTATTGGTCAAAATTGGCGTCAAAACATCCTGTGCCAACCCTCTGCAGAAGCAAATAAATATTTTAGTTCCTAGGGGCCAGCATCGTATTCCTAGGTGCTTCAGCAACCCGGCACCTGGGAAATCAGGCTCCTGGGGACTTTCCCAACCTCACAACTCTGTTTTCAAAGGAATAAAGTGCTTCTCTAATTCATTCCTTAGTGGTTCATGCTTGACGTGTGGGGGGCGGGGCGGACAATAAAACACACCATTCACACTCTGAAGATATTATCGTCTTCCTGACTGACCGTCTGTTTGGCTCCAACGAAGATTGTAAGGGGCTGCTGAAGTCTCCTTTATAATTCGTTCTTTGGTTTTGTCGTTTTTCAGTACACAAATGTTATCTTGGTATCCGGGCTCCAAAACAGGTTTGAGCACCCCACTGACTGCAGACATACAATGGAGGCCTTTACACGGTCACTTGTTTGATCACCTGGGGTAAGTAAAAACCATCTCCAGGCGAACAGGCACAAATTTGGGGGGGGGGGTTTCTCCCTTTCAGGGTATTGGTGTATTGAAAATACGGACATGTTGGCAGGTTCCCTGGTAAACATTTTTGTGTATTTGTGTGTGTACTTTTGTAGACATAAAGAGCAATCCTACGAAGGTCTACTCAGAACCCTACTCAAGTTTCCTCTCCGGAAAGCATCCTTAGAACGGCACGCTTAATTTCTCAGACAATGTGAAGGATGACACATATTTGTGAGCAATACGCCCTCTACGCTGTGGAGTCTTGCGGGCAAAAATTCTACATTGTGAGCTACGGGCATTAAAGTTGTGAGTGAGCGATTTGGCTACTGCATCAATTAGTTTGCTCTGGAGCCCTCCTTCCCGAGCTGAGACAAAAATGTGTGAGCCGGAGGCTAAAAGACTGTGAGCCGGCTCACACTAACTCAGCTTAGAGGGAACAATGTCCGTGAGCCGCCTCTGTTAACGCAGCAAGCTTTTGACCTGCACAGAATTCTTAGAGCACTCCTGCCTAACTTAAATTGAAGAGTCCACCCAAAATGGGAGGATAATTCCAAGGAGGCGCTTTCCCACAAAACACGGCAGTGCTCGATCCTTGGGAACGATCTCACTCTCTCTCGCACGCACACACACCCTCCCCGGTTCCTGAAAACCCGGCCTTGAGGAAATGAGCCTTACCACTTTCCCCTCTTTGGCCTCCTTCCTGTGCCCGTGTCCCAGGATCTCTGTGGCGGCGCTGCTGCTCCCGGCTCTGTTTTCAATGATGCCCGGAGACAAGGAGTAAAAAGGGGGGCTGGGGCTGGGGGGCAGCCCAGAATCCGGGCTGTCCAGCAAGCCTTCCCGGTTCTTCTCTTTCAGACTGTCTTCCATGCCTTGCAGCTGAAGGTGACCCACCATGACTGGGGGGCAAAGTGAGGGCGAAGGCAGCCAAGCCGATGAGAATCCACCTCCTCCTGCGGGGAGGCCAGCGGCGGTGGGGCAGGCAACGGGGTCTGCCGTCGGCCCCCTCTGCTCAAGCTCTCCCCGGGACCTCCTGAGACCTGAGGCCTTCGTCCCCTCCCGGCTCCTCCGGCTGACCCTGTTGCAAGAAGCAGAGAGAGCAAGTGTAAGTCACGGGCTTTCCTCCGTCTATACTGTGCAATTCAGGGGGATGAAGGGGGGGGGAGTGGGGGACCAACGGCAAGGGGGCAGGAACTGGTCAGATGACCCAGGCTGGCCAAATCTCAGAAGCTAAGCAGGGTGGGCCCTGGTGAGCACTCGGATGGGAGACCACCAAGGAAGTCCAGGGCTGGTATGCAGAGGCAGGCAAGGGCAAAACCACCTCTGTTCGCCTCTCGCCTTGAAAACTCTACTGGGTGACCGTAAGTCAGCTGAGACGAGATAGCCCTTCCGACCACCAATTAACTACAGTTTGGTGCAGTGGTTAAGTGCGCGGACTCTGATCTGGGGGAACCGGGTTTGATTCCCCACTCCGCAGCTTGCAGCCAGCTGGGTGGCCTTGGGTCAGTCACAAGTTCTCTCAGAGCTGTTCTCTCAAGAGCAGTCTCTGTCAGAGCTCTCTCAGTCCCACAGGGTGTCTGTTGTGGGGAGGGGAAGGAGGAGGAGTTTGGAAGCTGCTCTGAGACTCCGAGGGAAGGGTGGGGTATAAATCCAATCTCTTCTCTTCTTCTTCTTCTTCTCCCTAACACAAGTACAAGGTTAAATGGGACCTCCTTTTCCATTGACCTGACCTGGGATCAGATCTCGGAAGCTAAGCAGGGTCGGCCCTCGCCATTACTTGCTCGGGAGACCGCCAAGAGAGCCAGGGGTCGCTATACAGAGGCAGGCGATGGCAAACCACCTCTGAAGACCTTAGAGCTGCCATAAGAAGAGAAACTGGTATTATACCCCATTGGCCCTTCACTACCTGGAGGAGTCTCGGAGAGGCTTACAATCGCCTTCCTTTCCTCTCCCCACGACAGACGCCCTGCGAGGTGGGTGGGGGCTGAGAGAGCTCTTTCAAGAAGTGCTG